GCCGTGCATTCATATGCAAAAGCCTCTGCCGCAGCCTGGGTGGGGCGGGTTCTCAAGGAATCAAAGGGCGGAGCAAGCAGCTATGGCGGATCCTCAGCCCTGCCCTAAGGAGTCCTGCGTCTCAGTGTCCTGGTAACGGCTGCAAGCACCTCTGAGGGAAAGCTGCCCTCAAGATTGCCCGCTGCCAGACAGTCCAGTTTCTCCCCGCATGAGTCCTGGGTCCCCAGAGACTTCCCGGAACTGGAGTTCAGAGCCGTCGGGAGCTTGTGACTCCCTCCGGATTCAAAAAGACAGCCGCGTCCTCAGGTGCCAGCCCCTTTCCGCGTGCGCGTGAGCCCCCTACCTCTGTGCCTCTCCTCTGCAGCTTCTCTTGCTCTCAGTGTGCTTTTCTTTCCTTCTAGTTGTAGAATTTACAGTCAGCCAGGCTTCCTGTGGTTCTGGATGATGTCCGTATTGTTTTTCTGAGGTATCAATCAATTGTTGTGAGCGGCATCAACTTCCCGGTGTTTATCTCTGCCGCCATCTTAGTTTCTCCTAGCTATATGAATATTGCTCAATGCCACCACTCATCAGGGAAATACAAATCAAAACCACAATGAGATATCAACTCAAACTTGTCAAGATGGCTATTATTTTTTAAGATTCCATGAAACATCACAAGTGTGATATTTGTGAGGGTGTGGAGAAAATGGAACTCTTACACACCATTGTTGGGAATGCAAAATGGTGCAGCCACTTCACTGTACACTCACTATTCACAATAGGAAAGATGTGGAAGCAACATAAATGCCCATAGACAGATGGATGGATAAAGGAAATTTGCTCTCTACATAGAATGGAATATTTTTCAGCCTTAAACACAAAGTAAATTTGCAACATGGGACATAAAAAATCTTAAGGACATTATGCTAAGTGAAATAAGCCAGGCACAGAAGGATAAGTACTCCATAATTCCACTTATATGCAGTATCTAAAATAGTTAAATTGATAGACTCCAAGAGTGGAATGGTGGTTGCCATAGGCTCGGGGGAGCGGGAAATGGGGAGTTACCAAGCAATGGGCATCGACTTTCAGTTGTACAAGATGAATAAGCTCTAGAGAGCTACTGTACAACATTGTAAGTATAGTCGGCAATGCTGTATTAAATCTTTTTATGATTTCATTTTGGAAGATACACAGCATCACTCTGCCTCATTCTCTTCATTACAATTGAGTCACTGATTGCAGCCCTCACTCAAGACTCCATCTTTAGAAGGGAGGAGTGACAAAGAATGTGTGTATGTATTTTAAAACTAATAACCCCACAACATAGTAAAGTGTGGGATTCACCCAAGCTAGGGACTCAAAAAAAAGTTTATAGAAATTCATACAGGAGCTAAAAGAAATACATTCATCCCAGCTTCTCCTCTTCTATGTATTTAAAATTTATTGAATGTTGACAGGACAATTTCCAAGATATTTTCTGGAGATAGCTTAGTACAATAGAAAGCACAAAGGCTTTGAAGCCAGGCACACCCACGTTTAGGCAAGTCTGCCTCTTGGCCAACTGTAAAATGAGGAAAACCAGTAAAGCTTGTCTCATGTTGTTATGGAGGTAATTAATGACATGACATGCGTAAAGTGCCCACTATGATGGTAGATCCCTCCCATTGGCTAATTTATCAGGAAACGATGAACAATATACATTAATTATCTAGAAGGTGCTATGAGATACGAAACTGAACTCAGATACATAGACCTTGAGAGGCAAATACTCCCATAGCGCTCTTAACAGGCCGAATAACTATAATACACTTGAGAAAATGATACATGTCTGCCGCAGGTATAATCCTTTAAATGTGGATCAAATTTGGATATATAGAAATGGAATAAATTTTGAGGGGTAAGGAAAGAACCAAAAGTATTCCAAATTAGGAGCAATAATTTGAGTAAACACAGAGGTAGAAAATACCAGGGGGTTGGGGTGGGGGGGTCATGAATTGAGAATAAGAAAGTACTTTACTACAGATAGAGCTTAAACATAGAGTCGATGGAAGGAGGTCGTGGAATTAGGAATTGGAAAAGTAGTTACATATCAGAGTATCAAGAAGAGATTGAGTATACACTCAGTTTTACAGTCTGACAAGAAAAATATTACGGCTAAAGAATTTAAACCAATTTTTAGGGCTGGCTATGGAAGGTAGGGAGCCTAGCTACTGAAGGACATCCTTGCGATGCTTTTCTTGGCTAAGTCCTATTGCAGTATCTCTCTGCCTCACATTGTAAACAGAGCTTTCTAAAACCGATCGTTAAAGAGCGCTTCTGACTCGGAGCCCAAGCGACTGAGCTTTATCCTTATCGTTCCCATTTTGGAGGCTGCAACAGCAGGGAAATGCAGTGGGAATATGTTTATAGGTCCTTGGCTCGTTATAAATGTACTTCTTGAGACGTGGCCATTTGGAATGGCCCATTTATGCACTCAACTCATCTGTGGTTATTTGACTTCCACCTCCAGATAATGAGGAGTTCTCTCCAGTTATTTTCCCTCAAGAAGACTGATTTACTTAGCAACCTTCACTTTTGTTACATTCTCCAGTCCCAGGCAGCGATGAGATTTATACATAGGACAGAGCCATTTCTATTCTGTGATGGAAGTTTGAAGGAAGTTGGAGCCAACGACCTTTCACTTTGAAGCCAAAGAAAAACAAGCACAATTTTTTCAGTGTTGCTAAGAATGGGGGCTTGGAGAGATGAACATAAAGGCTTCTTCCAGGCCCGCTCTTCAATACGTGGTGCCCAAAGCCTTTACATCTTACCTAGCACACCCTCCTTATTTTGATGAAGTTCATGTTCCATCAAAATAAACATGATGGAGATCATTTTTGATGATTTTTTGGATGAAATTGAATTTTCCATTTTATCACCTCCTTTGCTTTAGTCGACATAAATCAAGGCTAGAGCATAAAGGGAAAGGGTGGATTTGAGGAGGGGGATAGAATTCCTAGCCAGTCTTTGTGCTGGAACTTCCCACATTCCCAGGTAGCTGTTTTTACTCCAGTAACAACATTTCACATCATGGACAATGTTCTCTGCACAGGTGCTCAAGGTGTTCTCGTCTCTGATTTCTTCCCAGGTGGGAAGTCGGCAAGTGGAGTCCATGCAGCCTCACCTGTGGGGTTGGCCTGCAGACCAGAGACGTCTTCTGCTCCCAGATACGTTCCAGAGAGATGAATGAAACAGTAATCCTGGCTGATGACCTGTGTCGCCAGCACAAGCCCAACACCGTGCAAGCTTGTAACCGCTTCAACTGTCCCCCGGCCTGGTACCCTGCGCAATGGCAGCCGGTGAGTTCTGAGTATTGGAGTTTGTGTTTGCATCAGGGATTCAGGACAGGGGTCACTCTTTTTGAGTAGTCTTGTTCCTTGAAAGGAATGTTCAAGGTCAGCTCATTTTTCCCTTGTGAGTACTCCCCCAATCTTATTCAACTCCAGATCTTTTTAATTACATCCCATGTTCTTTCTACTGTGCCTCACCATGTAATCTCCAGAAGCAAGTCAAATGAACCATCTATTAACCTGAGCATATTCGTGACAAAGTTTACACCAGGCTCATGAAAAATTTTAGAAATAAGGACAATGTGGTAGGTTTTCCATAAAGCTAAATTTGTCCTGAATCTGTACCCTTACTAGTTTTTGGCTAATTAAAATTCTAAGAGATAAAGGTACTAGGCAATGATGTTTTTGTTAACATAATTACTTAGTAAAATAAAAAGTTAGAAAGCTTGAATCAACTCCAGACATTTTTTTTTCCTGGTCCTATGAATTCCAAGTCTGGGAACTGTTGCTTTAAAGCAGGGCTTGGCAACTGCAGCCCGAAGTCAAATCCAGCTCACAGCCAGTTGTTGCCACTAAAGTTTTATTGGAACACAGCAACACCCATGCTTTTATATGTATTGTCTATGGCTGCTTTCAGCCTGCAAGGACAGAACTGTGTGGCTGTGACAGAGACCATATGGCCCACCAAACCTAAAATATGCACTCTGTCCTCTTACAGAAAAACTTTACTGACCCCCCTCGAAAGGATGCATTACAATAATACAAACAAAACTATTTTATCACAGTGTCTTATCTAAAATTACATTTATCAAGCTTTAAATCATCTTTTTCCCTGCCTTTAAAACAGCACAGAAGGATTTTAATGATTTTAATAGAATCCTATTTTGCAATTCCCACCCCATGAGGACATTAGTCATAGCTCCAGCCCCAGGACCTTGAAGTGACATCAAAGGTCACAAAAAGTAAGCCTGAAAGGTCAGGGGGACATACATCCTGGTTTTACTGAAACAGTTCTTATTTTCACTCTCAAATCTGCCCCAATTAGAATGATAAAGTAGAGGGTTACTGCTGAGAAGGAGAGAGGGTAGCAGCGTCGTACATACCCTTGCTGTTCCCACACGTCCTCTGTGCTATTTACAATCAGGTGCCAGAGCCCCTGCCTTCTCCCAGCCTATCCTGGGGCTGTGACTTAGCAAAGTGCTCAAAGGATCAAGTAGTAATGAGTGAGCAAAACACTAAAACATAAAGCATCAGGAAACAGACATTGTCTATACATTTTCTTTTAGAGCTTAGAGGACTGTGGCTAAGTTCATAAATTCTATTTTTGTGTGATGGTTTGTGGAAGTCAAGAGGATGCTATACCTTTTCAGTGTCTATGTAGCAGTGTTTGGTTAAGAAATATATAGTACTAGAGCAGGGGTGGGCAAACTTTTTGACTCGAGGGCCACAGTGGGTTTTTAAACTGGACCAGAGGGCCGGAACAAAAGCATGGATGGAGTGTTTGTGTGAACTAATATCAGTTCAAAGTAAACATCATTACATAAAAGAGTATGGTCTTTTTTTTTTTTTTTTTTTTTTTTGTTTTCTTCTTTCCAAAGGGGCTGGCTCCCCACGGGGGGCCGGGCCGTAGTCTGCCCACAGCTGTACTAGAGGCTCGGTGCGTGAAATTTGTGCACTTGGGGGGTCCCCTCAGCCCAGCCTACACCCTCTCTCAGTCTGGGAGCCCTTGGGGGATGTCTGACTGACAGCTTAGGCCTGCTCCCCACGCTCGCTGTGCTCGCCAGCCTTGAGCCTGGCTCAGGGCTTCTGACTGAGCAGTGCTCCCCCTGTGGAAGTGCACTGACCACAAGGGGGAAGCTCCTGAGTGAAGCATCTGCCCCCTGGTGTACAGTGCATGTCATAGTGACTGGTCATTCCACCCTTTGGTCAATTTGTATATTAGCCTTTTATTATATAGGATTACACACCTAATTGAATCCTCACAACTATCCAGTAAAACAGAGGTTTTATTAACTTCATTTTGGGGTTTAGGAAAACTGAGGCTCACATAGCTAGCAATTTAGGGTTGGCCATCAACCAGTTTTATGGGATCCTTTCCATTGTTGGAGACCACTGTTCCTGGAAGGGCCCTCGGGGATTATGTATGAGCCCCTTCGTTTTACAGATGATGTAACTGTGTCCTAGATATGGCCTTGCCCAAGATCTTAAAGGCTGTTCCAGAACCCAGGTCTCCTGATTTCATACTTTTACCTTTAACTAAAGTGAATCCAGGACGTTAAACTGCACCACTAGCCCATGCAAGCCCTCAAGGAATCAGCCCAACTCAACCTCCATTGTTGAAACTATTAAGTCCCTGTATTATTAGCTTGTTTTGCCATTAAGCACATAGTAAGTTCTGGATAGAACATTTATTGAATGACAAAAGGGACAAATAGATCAAGAATACTGCCACACAAGCCCTGAAAATTCTGACTTTATATCTAACTGCTCTGTTTGCTACATGGTTTTAGGTCATATTGACCTAACAGTAAAAGTGAGTGAAATACCAATCCCATTAGGTTACTGAATAACTGCAGTTTTTAAGTTTTTAGAGAACTTCCATGTACAGAACCTTTTTGGTCTTTTGATACCACCATGCCCAGTCTCCCTATTAAAAAGAGTGGATTTCCAAGGATTAATTATTCTTCCATTTTCTACCTATCTTGGGCCTGTTAAGACATGTATTCATTTTGAAAACTTTCTATTTCCTTCCATTAGGGAAAAGTTTTGGGGATAACTCAAGCACAGATATGGCTTGTTTTATTGTGCTTCACGGATACTGCAGGGGTTTTGGGGTGTTTTTACACATTGAAGGCAAGACCCTTCACCAGCAAAAAGATTACAACCTGCTTTATTGCGGGGGTCTGGAACCAAATCTGTAATATCTCCAAGGTATGCTTGTATAAGTACACTTTTCAGATCAGGAAACGAATAGTAAACAGCTCTTTAAAGTTCATCCAATGAGCCATTGACTACACTTTATTAGGACCTTTAAAAAGATCCCATTTCATACTGAATACATAATAATTGTGGAAAATGTTAAAACATAGTAAGAAGTAAAAAACATAGAAAGTGAAAGCCACCGACGATTCTATCCTCCAGGAAAGAAAAGTGCTGTTAAAGCATTTGGTGCATAGGGTCTGTTTTAAGGATCCTTGGTCACTTCCAGAAATCTCTCTGAACCTAGTGGTAATGATAGACTATTTTTGTTATATTATTTTAACAGTTAAGTTTCATTTTTTTTCATTGTATTTTCTCTTCAGTTTTTATATTTATTTTCACTCATAATTCTTAGCCCTTGATAAAAAACTTTTTTTTTTTTTTTTTAAATATCTTTTTATTGGTATTTCAGAGAGAGGAAAGGAGAGAGAGAAAGAGAAAGAAAAAGAGAGAAACATCAGCATCTCTTGGCTGCCTCCTGCATGCCCCCTGCTGGGGATCCAGCCCACAACCCGGGCATGTCACCTAAATGGAACCTAACCTGCGACCTCTTGGTTCATGATTTGATGCTCAACCACTGAGCCACATCAGTGGGGCAGTTTACTGTCTTTATTCATGTGAAAGAAAAGGAGATGGGGGATCAAATGCTTCATTTCAAGAAGATAGGTAACCCCATGGATGATGGATTTGGGCCCATTTGAAGGGAGAAACTCCCCCTCCTTGTTTGAACACTGGGCTATACTGACCTCATGCAATATGCTTTTCTTTCAGGGAGGGAAAGCATAAATTCAGTTAATCTCCATTTGCCTGCTAAGAATTCAACCTTCTTTGTACCTTCTGGAGCATTTGCCTGACAAATGGCAAATAGCCAATATTTACACATTCTGCAGGTCTGGAGGGACCTCGAGTGGAGTCCAAGTATTTATGTTAAAATTTTAGTTTAGAAACAATTAGGCAGATGTGAAGCAGAAATCTAATTCTACATTTGGTTTTTAGGGGGCCTTCTTTATTTCAGTTCTGCCTCTTACGCAATACTGTGTGCCTTGGTTTTTATCTCTGGTCTTGTTGAAGGATGCATTTAATATTTCTCTTTATCAGTTTAGCTTTAAATTCATGTTGGTTTTTGTTTAGTTGGCTTTTGAAACACATATTTAGTGCATTAGTCTTTTCTAATTTTTTTTAATATATGCACATATCATCATCATCATCATCATCATCATCAACTTTGGTGTTGGCTGTATATTAACTTATCATTTACACCTCATAAAAGGCTATATCACACTGGGGTGTTACAGCACCATGGCTGAGAACCACTTTGTTTGAGCCAAAAGTCAGCCTAATACATCTTGATCATAACAGTCTTCTGCTAGGATTTATCTCAGTGATTCTCTATTGTTATGTAATAAAGCCCAATGGCCTGCCCATCTTCAGCCTTGCTTCTCCCATCTCAGCAGGTACATTGCTTTCTGCCCACACTTCTCCCTGCCCACACACAGTTCCCCTTCCCTCTGCCTGTCTGTCAAAGTAGGGCACGAGTCCTACCTCTTCTGCCAGGACCTCTACCGTCCTCCCACACTGAAGTCACATGCTATTCATGACCAGCGCTATTCATTTAACAGTCATATACCACCTTACCTGGGCAGGTGCTTTCCTGTGACTTCTGAGTTAGACCACCAGGTCAATGGCAGCAGAGACCAGGTTTCAGTGAGATCCCACAACACCCCGTGCAGGTATGTAGAGCACCGGGGATGGTGCTGAAAAGGTCCATGGCGAGTCTGCCAGCTCATTTGTTGAGCACCCACTTCATTTCAGGAGAAGCACTTATTAAAGAGAAGCACTCACTATGTATCAAGCACAGATCTAGGCACTTGATATGTTTAATTCATTTAATCCTCACTATCCTTAATGTGGTAGTTACTACAATTATCCCCACTTCACGGGTGAGGAACCTGAAGCACTGAGAGATTACCATGAACTCACACTTCATGTGGAAGAACTCATTCTGCTGCTCTGGAATGTTCTCCTTCAAT